AAAAAAAAAAAAAAAAAAATGTAGATTGTTTAAAGCAATGGCTCTTAAGTTGTGGCTTAGACATTCTAACCTTTCATTTGCCATTGTTACGTGGGACTTATTAAAACTGAGATCTTGGCTGGGCATGGTGGTGCACCCCTTTAATCCCAGCACTGGGAAGGCAGAGGCAGGAGGATCTTTGTGAATTCAAGATTAGCCTGGTCTAACCTAGCAAGCTGCAAGACAGCCAGGACAGTGAGAGACCCTGTCTCAAAACAAAAAAGCACCAAGATTTCTAGAACCAAAACTAGACACACTCTTTCCTCCAAGGACTGTGCGTCTGTGCATCTGTGTGTGTGTGCGTGTGTGATGATAAACTAGTGTGAATTTATGAGAGCTATAGAGATGGCTCTTTGATGTGCGTAATTAGTGCCTTCTAATTACTCATTTCTTGGTGGAATTCTCTAGAAATGCAAGTAGATGTATTGTTCGATTTTTTTTAAATGTTTTACCTGCTAGTGTGTCTGTGCACCGTGAGTGTGTCTAGTGCCAGAGCCAAGAGAGCATCCCAGAACTGGAGTTACAGGTGGTCGTTAGCCACCGTGTGAGATGGTGGCCTTTTTTAGAATGTTGAGAACTTCATCTACAGCCTTTCCACCTCTCCCTGCACCTAGATTATTTCTTCTTTTAAAGGGCTGGGGGGCGGGGCACGACAACAAATCGTGGAAGCAAGGATTCTGTAGTTCAGTAGTTCAGATCTGTTATTGCTCTGTTTAGTTCCATCATCAACATTGTCATTTGGATTTTCTGCCCTTGCAAAAAAAGGTTAGGGGTGAGAGAGGACTCTGGATTTGCATATAACAAGACAGTCATAAATGACTAATTTATCTCATCATGAAATGACACCTTCCTTTTACTCTGTGGTGACCTTTTTATCAGTGGTTCTCAACCTTCCTAATGCTGTGACCCTTTAATACAGTTCCTTGAGTCTGGTGACCCCAACCATAACTTCATTTTCATTACTACTTCATAACTGTAATTTTGCTGCTGTTATGAATCAAAATGTAAATATCTGGTATGCAGGATATCTGCTATGCCAGCCTGTGAAGGGGCCGTTCAGCCCCGTGGTTAAGACCCATTGCCTTAGACTGTACTTTTATTCCATTTGAATTAGGATTGTGCTTAGTTTAGGTTTTTCTCTGGGTATCACAGACTGCATTACTCTACCTGATTCCCCCACCTAGGTGTACATTGGTTGTGTTTGGAGTGTGGCTCCTGTACATCCTCATGTTAAATTACACCGTTGAAGAATGTGACATGAAAAGAATGCATTATGTGGACCCTGACCGCATAAAGGTGAGCTATTGCATGTGGTTTAAATTCAGACATTTCCAAACACACACTTCAGCTGCAGTCACGTCTCTGCCGTATGACATAGAAATGCTATTGAAAATCTGAACAAGAAGTGTTCTAGTTTCATATCTGTTTCTGTGGTAAAGAATAAATCTGACCAAAAGCAACTTGCAGTAGGAAAGCTTTATTTCAGTTTTCAGGTTGCAGTCTGTCATTGAGGGGAATCAAGGCAGGAAGTCTAAGATAGACCTGCTTGCTCTGCCATGCAGAATTACCTTCTAACCAGCGGACTCCCTCACAGCCAAGGAGGTGTATCAGAAGCCAGGGCGGAGCACGGCCTGCTGGCTCTCACAGACTCCTGCTCAGCTACTTTCCTTGTACAGGCCAGGACCACCTGCCCAGGGAATGGTACCGCCCACAGTGGGCGGGGCCTCCCACATCAGTTAACAACCAAGACAGGTCCCCATAGACTTGCTCATGCGCCAGTCTGATTCGGGCAGTCCCTCAGTAGAGACTCCTTTCTCTGGTGACTCTAGACCGGGTTCAGTTGACAGTTGAAGCTGACTAGGACAAAGGAAAAACCAATCTCAGCACTCTGGAAACGAAGATGCCCCTATCAAGCCTGCCATCTGGCCCTTCCGCTCTGCAGTAGTATTCTTCATTTACCAGTGGGCTCTGCTGGACGCGTGTTGAGGCACCTCCCATGGAGTTCCTTTGTCATGACGCTGCCCATCATTCTTCTAAAACGGCTGATGAAAACGTTCCATGGATGTGATGTGTCATTCCTGGGCTTTGGTTATTGTAGGGGTCTCTGCAAACACCACAGCCAGCAGAGTAATGATCCGAGCAAGTCACGAAGGAAACCCAGTTCAACATGACTCGGTAGCTGGTGTTGGTTCAAACTTGTGGAGTCTGACACCAGGCAGTTTATTGTAGCCATATTTAAGTACACTACAATCTAAAAAAGGTTTCCTAGTGTAACACGATCCCATGGACCCAAGGAGGCGTTGTTTACATACAAACTCTTCTCAAAGTCCATGTCGCTTCTCCCATGAAGAAGGGTTCTGAAGACAGGTCACATGTGTTACCTTAGGGCCTGAGGGAGAATCTGTTATGGTATCAGTCATTCAAATAGTGCATAGGTCATCTGGGCTGTTAGCCACCTCTGGTCCTGGTTGGAGGAGTTTGGGGGTCCCCTGGCCATACAAGTAGCGCAGGAATCATCTAAGCTACTAGTACCTCCATTCTCAGCCTTCTGGGAGAAAACAGGTTATACGTCTCTTTTGTCAAAGAGATAACGTTGCCTGTTTAACATTACTGATTTCCCTAGTGCTTGTCTCTGAACACAAGGACAGGTTTTAGTTTTAAAGATTTTCACATGGTATTTCAGTTATTTTCATAGTTATTCAGTATTTTATATATATATATTTTTTCAGTTATTCACATAGTATTTCAGTTTTTCTTTAAATTGTTGTCGATGTTTCTAAGTGGTTTGTTACATGAAAAACAAATTTCACTGGTAAACTGAATGGTTAAATTCAGCAGTAGTGTTCTGCCCAAGGTTCAAGACAGGTGATTTAAGACAAGGTAGTGTGGCAGGAGTGCACTCCAATGGGAGCAGGTGCTGCATGAGTGTGACTCACTGTGTTGTCCTGGCTCATCCCAGCACCCTGTCTCTGCAGACAGTGGCCTGCAGACTTGACCTGCTTGCCCGTGTCCACATCTGGCATCGGTAGCTAGTGCAGTTAGCCTAGTTCGTGTTGGGTGTCTGCCAGGAGTCATGCCACAGGTGCACTGTGCTGTCAACTCAGCCCTCAAGATCGTTCTGGGTATGTAGCATGTCACTCTCCCTGTCTCACAGCTGAGATGACCGGGGATTGGAGATGAAGCAGTCAGGCCAGGGTCCTGACCACTCTGTGGTCCCAGCACTCAGGAGGCAGAGGCAGCAAGACTGCTTCGAGTTCAAGGCCTTGTCCCGCCAAACTAAACCAAACCAAATCCAATGGTACTTGAATCCCTCGGGCCCAAGTTTTCCCAACTGGGAAATGTCAGGAGCGGTGTATACCTGCGTTTCTTGTTTGACTTGGATTCCCTCATTTCTCCTTTTGGTCTGTACTCTTCCGATTGCCAGGTTTTTGTGGTCCAGTAGATAACCAAGCCGCTGAGGAGCACAACCCCGTTCAGTCACAGGTTTTGTTTTCCTGCTGTCCCTCTGTGCTCCGCTGTCTGCTGCCGCCTCTTGTTGCATCAGTATCCACATCCGCTGTGGGGCCACACGTGTCCAGGATCCTCTGCTCGGAGCCCCGTCCTCTGCCAATCTGTCTGGCCTTACAGATGTTCCCTGAAGCCCATTCAGTTCCAAGGCCTTCCCCGGTGCTCTCGGATCAGGGTTTTTGACATCCTGTCCGTTTTCTGTCTCCTGGGAAAGGCCTAGAATCACGGCATTTGGTATGGCTTACTGAGTCACTGTGGGCTCTTGTCTCTGACTCTTTGTGGAGCTTCCTCACCCTCTCACGCCTCTTACTTCCCTGTCCTTTTAATCACGTGTGCCAGTGGCTGCCCACCTGCCAGTCGATGGCTCTGGAGTCTGTGTAGTAGAGGAGAGAATGTCTCTCACGTGAAGCTGAACATGCTGCGTGGGGTGCGATTTCATAACGCTGTGCACTGAGTCCACTTGGCAGGAGTAGAGACCCAGCTGTCTGCAGTCACGGTTTCCCACCACACTACACTTTCAGAGGTCAGACCACTGTGTGCGTATGTGTGTTTATGTGCGCACACCACCGCCGCGCCTGGCTTTCCCACGGGTCTTCAGGCTTGTGCACAAGCGTTTTGACACTCGGCCACCACCCCAGCTCCTGCTCTGATGTACAGCTATTGCTCTTTTTTTGAGATTTTTTTAAAAAATTATATGTGTGTTGATGTTTTGCCTGTATGCTTGTCTGTATGTCACAACTGTGCAGTTGGAAAAGGGCATTGGATCCCCCAAACTGGAATTACAGATGGCTGTGAGCCTCTAGGTAGATGCTGGGACTCAAACCCAGGTCCTCTGGGAGAACAGTGCTCTTAACTGCTGAGCCACCGCTCCAGCCCTGTAGTCACTGTAGCTTGCTCTGTAAAGTTCTTCAGGGTCCTAATGACTTTTGATAGAAACCAAAAAGAGACTCAGGGCTGCATCCCTGAGGCTCCACCAAAAGGGGGGGAACACTTGCCTGGCCTGAAAGATCTGACTTGGGGCAAATGATGGGACCTGCCTACGTGGCCTTAATGACGGAAAGGTGTACTGGACTAGCAACCAGACTGCAGAAGGGAAGGCTTGAAATCTTCTGCCATTTGCCACACTCCCTCTCATATTAAATCATGTGAGTATATTGCCAGTCTGTCCGAACTGTAAATTATCTGAGAGTGAAATTAAGTTCATATAGTTCCCGATAGTCTAAGAAAAGGCCGGCATGCCTAGCTGGCTCTTAGGAGCCCTCTGCTCTATCTAGTGTTCTCTGTTTCGGTCTACATGTTGTCCTTGCCTCAGGCAGGATTGATTGCACAGTAGATTTCTGAAAACTGAACCTGCTGTGTCTCCTCCCCTCAGGAGTCTTGGTCCCTCATTATCTTCAGGAGCACATGGGGGTCCCTTCACCCACCTGTGAGAATTCATGGCCCATCATCTGGCTTTCATCTGGCTTTGTTTGGCCTCACAGCATCCCAGCACTGCCCCTGTTGTTTGTACCAGGTGGAGCTGCTCTTGCTTGTTACCCCTCAACCTCTTTCTTTCTAACCACCTTACTGAGAAACAATTCACACATCGTAAAATTCGAGGTTTAGAGCATATGGTGCAGGGTCTTTCATATTTACAGAGCTGTGCTGCTTGGTGAGGTGTGCCGTCTCCCCCAAAGAAACTCCAGGACCATAGCAGTCACTCTCTGCCTGCCCCAGGCAACCATGAATCCCTTTCTGCCTCTAAGGCTGTTTCCTGTTCCATGTAAATCCTTTGTTGTTGGCTTTTTTGCACTTAGCAAAATGTGTTGTCTTTCCGATTGAAAACTAACACTGGAGCTGGGCATAGTAACCCTTAAAGGCTGAGGCAGGGATTGGAGCCACATGCACTGGGTAGCAAGACCCTGTTTCTAAGACAAAAAAAAAAAAAAAAAATCCTCAAATTTCACAAAATACAGGGAAGAGTGAAGAGAAAGTTTGCTATGGTTTTCCACTGGAAAAGAGAGACCAGGGGACTGTTATGTGCACATAACCCCTGAAATCCTGTGACAGCCGGGGTAGAGCTGGAGTCGGAGTGCATTACTGGAGACATATTTTTAAAGGCAGCTTCTTTTTTTAGTGATTATTATTATTATTATTATTATTATTATTATTATTATTTCCCATCCTGACCAGTTTCCCCACCCTCCTCTCCTGCCAGTTCCTTGCCCCCAGCTGCCCTCCCCATCCACTCTTCACCATTTCTATTCAGAAAAGGCCAGGCCTCCCATGGATATCCACCAAACATGGCATACCAAGTTGCAGTCAGACTAGGCACCTCCTCTCATATTAAGGCTGGACAAGGGAACCCAGTATAAGGAATAGGGAAAGAGTCAGAGACAGCCCCTGCTCCCACTGTTAGGAGTCCCACAGGGAGACCAAGACACACAACTGTAACAAATAGGTAGAGGGCTTAGGGCAGTCCCATGCAGGCTCCCTGGCTGTCAGTCCAGTCTCTGTGAACCCCTGTGAACCCCAATTAGTTAGTTCTGTGGGTTTTCTTGTGGTCTCCCTGAGCCCCTGGCTCCTACAGTCCTTCCTCCCCCTCTCCTGCAGGGTTCCTTGAGCTCTGCCCAATGTTCGGCTGTGGGTCTGCATCGTTTCCATCAGTTGTCGGTGAACATCTGATAACAGTTGGGCTGGACACCAATTTTTTTTTCTTGCCATTCGTGTTTGGGTCTATCCTAGGCTACCCTTCCTCTGGGTCCTGGCCTTCTAGGCGGTGTGTCAGGGGTGGGCTCCTTCTTGTGCCA